ACTATTTCAATCAATAGCTGTTAGTATCAAGGATTTGACACAACTCTCTTTTTTTACAACTTTATACCTACCATCATGCCATTTACAAGTATAGGTAACCAACCCTTTCATTCCCAAGTGACCAAGTTGGGATATAATGCTTAATATTCCTATGGATCGCTAATTTTTTTTTCCCTTTCAAATCAAATTTAGAAAAACAATTATACTCTTAATCATTGCTAAGTTTCTATACTTATGAAGGGATAAGTTGCACTTAACCAATCTTAAATCTTGTAATATTGAGACTTGAAGATTCATTAGTAAAACCTCAAATTAGAGTCTCAACATATGAACCGTAGTCATAAGGGGGAAAAAAAACTTTGAAAAGGCTTATAATAGAATAAGTTAGGACTTTGTAATGAAATGCCTCCATGAACTTCCTTCAAGTCTTTGTTGATGTGGTCTCTAGTTGTGTCTTTGTAGTAAATATGCAGCTTTTATGGAATGGAAATAAAACGAATATCTTGTAAACATTACGAGGGATGAGATATGGTTATCTAATTTCCCCTACCTATTTGTAATTTAAAGGAAAACTAGTACTCTATATTTTATACAAATGAAGATCACTGATGGCCTGCCCATCACACATTTGTGTTGTTATCTTTGGGAACTTCAGTGCAGAAGGCAAATGTTATTCTAAATAGTACTATCTCCAATCCTAATTATAAGATTTTATTTGTAGTTTGTAAACGAGATCTTATAAGTAGAATCAGAGGTAGTATCAATCATCACTTATAAAAAGGTGTCGGTTAAAGCTAAGGTAAACTTCTCAAAAATTGGAATATTTTCCTTTGAAAATGTAAATCATAATTAGTGCACCAAGATAAGCATCATCTAGAGGAGCTCGAATGAACAGTGAAAGATGCTTAATACTGCTCCGATCCTTAATATAAGACCCAATCTTAAATTAGTTTTAGTCCTAATATAAGAATCATTCCTCATATTTATCAATTTTCTTTAAATTACCCCTATGGATACTCCTTCAACCATAATTAAGTATAAGAGAGAGAGGGGGTATCAAGAAAGATGACTATGGTATTTTAGGAAAAATGTGTCACTTTTCTTATAATTAACTAACTTACCTAACTTCCTTAATCTAATCAAATTAGTTAAATGGATCTTATATTAAGGACCGGAGGAGTATATAATAAGAGAGGTGGATTGGGTTTGAGACGTGAGAAATACTAAACCCACTCTCCACCTCATGAAATTGGGCTAGAACCTTATGAAACGAAGGGATGACTTTTGGGTTAAATTGGTTCAGAACAAGAACAAATAATGAGGAGAAGAAACCGTGTCCCAGAGATTGACTGGGAAAAAAAAGAGGAGGGGTTCGAGAAACAAACTAAGAGAAATGTTGAATTTCTTTTTTTTTGATGAAAATCAAAATAATATTAAAAAGAGGATAAGCTTACATAGTCCCTTCATAGTATGGATCTAAATTAAAAAATGTGGAATGAAATAGGGAGGGGGTGATGTAGAAGAAGAAACATTAGAAAAACTAGACAACATTATTCTCAAATCCAGTCAAATAAGTGATTGATGAAATTAACCACACCCAATATAGAGTAAGAAATCAGAGAATTACCTTGCAAAACCAAGTAAATAATCTTCCTGTTGAAAGTAGGATCATGGGCGTGTTGGGAATTGAAGGTCTATATAAGGATCTAACTCCCAAAAAACAAAAATCCAAGTCAGATGCCTCCTATTTGTGGGGTTATGCATTGTGAGGTCAGCCACATGACTCACCACAGTCCAATGGACCTATCCTTGTCTAAAAGGAATGATAAGGTTTCTTTAACAAATTATGAGAGTTTGAATCGAAGTACCTAGGCTTGATCAGTAGTATTGGTCAATAAGGATCCTTTAGCAGAACTAATTGTTATCCAAATATATTTTATAAAGATATGCTACTTTCCGATTCTAAATATAAGAGTTAGTTAGAAATTTAAGTTGGTCCTAAATATAAGATTTCAATCCTCCTTATCTTTCATATTTATTCATATTTTCTTAAAGTAGCCTCTATGATAATTGCAAATACAAATGTTAAAAGATCTCTATTCTAATGTACATGATTAACAATAGTGTTTTGAAAAATATAACATCAGTTTATTATACAAAACTCACAAATTAATTATTTAATTTTTATATTAAGAATCGGGATAGTATATCTTTATTAGTTCACTAAGTGGGTCTTATACAGAATCCCACTTCATTAACAGAGTCGAAAGAGAATTTGTTATTCATCTTGTATATTTGTCTCAATCTCCATAAGATCACACAAAATTTTTTGTGCATGTTTGATGAAGACTATAGAGCATGTATTTGATTAAATAATAAGATTTACAATACATTTTAAAATTAATATAATTTTCGGTCTCTTAAGTTTACCTTCATTTTAGTTTTTTTTTTTGTGAATATCTTCATTTTGATTTTGATTTTTCAAGTTTCAAATCACAGGTCTTGGTCAGGAACTAATATCAAACCACAGGTTTTGGTTAGGGACCAATGGTTTAAAACATTAGTCAAACTTAAAACACCAAAAATTATATTTTTCATGATTTTATACAATAAAATCCCAGTACTTTCAAAATACAAACGTATTTATTAAATGCGTTATACTACACAATATGCATAAAGATGCTATATATAATCGGTTCTAATCTTGTAGGTTTCCACCAAAATTTTTGCAAAGTGCAGGAATCCAACTTGACACGTGTTAACATGGAACTTTGTCAAATTGACTCAGACAATTCATGGGTGAACAGAACATATGTGGTGGTTTGTTTTGGTCAAGTTTAAGGTCAACCTCTAACTCAATGTCGTCTGTGCACATCCTAAATACGAAGTGTATTTTTTCTTTTACAAAATTAAATTTTGATCTCATTCAAAATGTCAGTCAAACCTTTAAAATAAGTTAAAAGGTAATATTCTTTTGCAATAAATTTCCAACTTGTTGTACAAAGTGTAAATTTTCGTAAATATGCATATAAGATGGTTTTTCTCGATAAGTCTTGTGTAATAAATTAGATAAGTTATTAGTATGAAAAAACTTTTTAAGTTTTGAACCTTTTCATTTTAATTAAAATTTTAAATTGATTTTTAATTTAGTATTACGTAAAAATACTGTATAATTACGAAATAACTTAAAGCCTTGAACAAATTGCTCTATCAGGCTGAATTAAAAGCATGGAAAATCCCGTATAGAAAACATGAAAATTACTAAATTTTAAATCATAAATTCTTATAAAAATATGTTGATATTTGTCGGTAAGGAAAAAAAAAAAAGGACCAAACTTGCTAGTTCAACCATTCGGTAAACCAGCTAGCAATCTGGTTTGATTTGAATGATGAATACATTATGAGTTATTCTAGTAGCAAACCTGTCAAATCAGTGTGAACCAATCTAGATAATTATATTATTATTAGTCTTATATTTTTCTCATTCAGTTTTTATTTTTAATATCCAAAAAATCAAAACATGTTAAAGTCAAGGAAACCACTATGATTTATGACTTGAGATTTAGTATTTTTTTGAGTTTGTTTATTTAAGTGTTTATAAGCACGTTTCACATAACATGAAACAAAATTATTCTTATATATTTATTTTGTATCATGTAAGTTATAATTAAAAAACTCCTTACAAATAATTTTGGGTTACTTTTGTAGAATTTTTTCCTAAAAAAGGGGGGAAATGCACAAAATTCCCCGATAAGTCCACTGTCGGAAAAATGAAAAGGCTTGCTTTGCTTGAGTGATCGGTGAACATAGCACTGTGGAAAGATTCTCGATTCTCGGAAGCAAAAACCCGTGCAAGCCATGCCCATGGCTTCTCATTCTCATCCTTTTGGTTCTGTCCAGTTCTTCAAAATCATCTTGAAATCCAATCTTGAAGCCATTGTAAGCATTCTTTTTTCTCTCATTCTCTTCATGTTTTCTTTTCCCTCTTTTTCCCCATTTTCTTTATCCATGTTTGTAGTTTCATTTCATTTGCCCCAAACGCACGCAACAGGTGGACCCTTTTTAAGATAAACGCAAAAGGTGGACCCTTTTTTTGATAAACGCAAAGGGTGGTTCCGTTTTTAACTCCTGGACTTGCTGCTATGAAAAAGCTGAACAGGGTTTTGCTTTTAATCCGTCCCTTTGTTTTTTTCAAAAATGAAATTTCCAAACGTGGAACCTTTAACCTCGCACTTTTTTCCCCTTTCTCGATTGATTTGTATGGAAAGTGTTTTTCGCCTCTGATGGATCTTTTATGCACGTTTGATTTGAAATAACTACATGGTCATTCATAGGTACATATGTACATTATATATATGTATGTATATGTATCTACACACACACACACAGATGGCTGTTGTGAGATTGAATTGATTGATATATTTCCATTTTGACTCTAGAGTCTAGGTTACTAAAACCAAACATCAGAACAGCACATTTCCTTCTAAATATGTTTCCTTTAGGGGGCTATGGTATGTTATGTTAATGGAAGAATTTGGTTATATATGGCATCCTAAAGTTCAAAAGCCATCGACGTTCTTTCCCATTATAGATACATAACAGAATCAAAGTTAAAACTCAGAAGTAAAGACATTTGAACTCACACACACACACATATTTTCTATATTATTATACTAACAAACATTACATCACAGAGGCTTCCAAACAAATTTATAGGGAGATATGGAAGTGGTTTGTCAAACCCAGTGTTTCTGAAGCTTTCTGATGGGAAAGAGTGGAAAGTGCATCTCAGAAAACATGATAATGAGGTTTGGCTTCAAGAGGGGTGGAAGGAATTTGCTTGCTTTTACTCTCTAGATGAAGGGCATTTGATTTTGTTCAAGTATGAAGGAACTTCTCGGTTCGATGTGCACTTATTCAATAAGAGTGCACTAGAAATAGACTATCCTTCCTCACCTAAGGATGATCTCTGTGAAGATACAATTGAAATCTTGGATGAGATGCCTCCAAACCAAAAGGCTAGGCACAAAACGCCTTTGTCATCTTCTATGCCTCATAAGAATTTGAGAAGTCTGCAGAATTCGGATGTGGGTTCAAAAATTGATTCTGATCAATGTCAAGGAACAGAGTTTAAGAAATCAACAAATGCAGAATTGAAATTTCCTAAGAAGGAACCAGAAGGTATGTGTTTCTTGGTCTTCTTTTCCTTTTTGATTTGTAGATTGAATCGACTTGTTTGGAATGAAGTTGTCTTAAGAATCTAAAGTTTTTATGGCACTTAACTCAAAATTGTCACAGAAGAATTGAGGATTTTTACCAAGAGTGCATGCTTGAATTCTAAGCATAGAAGGAAGAAAGCATTAACTACTGTGGAAAAGATCAGAGCTTTAAACAATGCAAGTTCTTTTGAATCTGAAAATCCCTTTTTCATGGTAATCATGCAGCCTTCATATGTCCGTCGTAAATGTTACTTGGTGAGCTTTCTATCATTATCTAGTTAGCTCCTTCTCAAACATGGACATTTATTTGAAGCTTTTGGTTGCAGATGGCTGCAATCTTCTGTGAGCTCTCAAATTTTTTTAATCTTCTTTTCACAGGTGATGCCAATAAAATTCACTAAAAGACATTTGAAGAAAGAGTGTGGTGTTGTAAAACTTGAAGCCTTGGATGGGAGAACTTGGCCTGCTAGGTATGAGATTCCCAGAATCAAAGATGGATGGAAGAAGTTTGTAATGGAAAATGGTTTGAAAGTGGGTCAAGTTTGTGTTTTTGAACTGATTGGTCGCATTTTCAAAGTACATATTTTCGGGGACAAGGAAGAAGGTAATAACTTTGTCAATTGGTTTCTCCATAGAAAAGTTCTCATGAATTCTATTTACTTCACTGTGGATGATTTCCAGTTAAAAGCAGAAAGAAGACTTGCAGTCTTGCAGAAGATCTGAAAGTTAATCCTGTTAAAAAAGAGCAGATCAGCAGTATTCAAGAGACTTCTCTTGAAAAGGCTAGCTCTTTCAAACCTAAATATCCTCATTTTATGGTTAAGATGACACATAATTACATTTGGGGCAAATCAAACTTGGTAAGTAGTTTTACCCTTTTAACGTAGTTGTTGGGGCTTTTTTACATGAAATGTTTTATTTTATTGATATTTAATAAACCGAACATAAGAAGCTTGGCACAATAGGCTTAAATAAGAGCCTTTTCTATTTAGTTAAATGGCATGATGACTAAGGCTATGTTTATTTATTTATGGAAAATTGTAGTATTTGATCCATAAAGTATTACTCAATTTTTAATTTGGTCTCTATGATTTAAAAATTTGCAAATTGTAATTGGGTCCTTATAATTTATTAGCCTTTTAATTTAATTTCTATTGTTAAATTAATCTACTAATATTTTCTGTTGAAACATTTTGTTGATGTAACTATCTATATATTGTTTTGGCGATCTAAATTTATTTGACTGTTGCTAGTAAAAGAGACAAAGTATGATAATAAAGTAAGATTAATAACATGCTTAGCAAAAATGTTGAGAAAAATATGATGGTAGGACTAAATACAAAATTATTAGCTTTGTTACTATTATTACTATGGTTGCTCTGTTATGGAAAGCAAGGAAATAGAGAGAAAGAGGAAAGAGAATGGAAGAGAGTAAGAGAAGCAGCGGAGAATCAGAGAAGAATAGAATACCAACAAAAACTAACTTCTAAAATTTGACTTCATTTTAAGGGTTGATGCCAACTTTAGTTCTTTAAATTTGACCTCGTTTTGGTTTTGGCCTCTAAAATTTGACTTCATTTTAGTTGGCCTAAAGATTTTTGTTCCCTGATACAAAATCATTGGTTTCAAATTTTTAGACCCAAAAACCAAAATGAGGTTCAGAAACTAAAGATGGTATTAATCTAAATTTTAAATATTGACAACATATTTCCAAATACTGATATATTAAGTTTAATTTTCAAAAACAACAATGATTAGTACGAAAAATCATTATTTCAGACTAATGGTATTAGAGTTAAAAGGATTGAAAAGATACCTTGTAAAATTGAAAGATTAAACTGAAACATTGTACAAAGTTTAAAGGATCAATATACAGTGCATTTTTTCCTAATTTATTTTCTGTTTTTCCTTTTTTGCTTTTTATTAATATTTTTCATGTTGTTGCTTAGCAACAGGTCAAGTCCATAGCAACAATTATCTGTGGTTTACTTGTTTTCACACCCGCACACCCATGTTCTGTTATCGATCTTGTGTTCAAAAATAGAATGATCCTTCATCCAATAACATCACAAGAAAATGTTTTCCTTTTCTTTTGTGTCTTGGAAGTTCTAAGAGCTAGCAACTAGTCAAGTTCATGTGTAACATTTATCTATATGGTTTACTTGCTTTCTAATTATTCTTTTCTCCTTCTCTCGCAGCATGTGCCAGTAGAATTTGCAAGAATACATCTTCGTGACTGCAATGAGAGTGTGAAACTTGTTGTGCAAGATGTAGCTTGGCCTGTTGAGCATGTATTTAGAATAACACTTCCAGGAACTGCAATTCATGAACTTTCTCTTTGTGGATGGAAGCAGTTTTGCCAGGATAATGAGTTAAAAGTAGGTGATGTTTGCATCTTCGAGCTCATCCCCGACGTCAATCCTACATTTCGAGTGACAATTTTGCGAGCCACTGAACACGTAGTTCATTCAACAAACTCAGGTAAAAGTAAAACCCAATTCAGTCTCAAAATTCCTCATTGCCTCTCTGATCTGCTGAACAGCAATTTCTAAAACTTTCTTCAGCTCAACTTTAAAGGATGGAGAAATAGACTCAGATCACTTTCAGTGACCAGAAGAAGTGATGAGAGAGATAGGATAGAGAGAAGGGCGAGCACACCTATTTATATAGTTGTCACATTCTCTTCTCTTTTGATGGTCGATTTGAAATACTTTATTTATTGCTTTCAATTTTCTTTTGACATTCTCCGGTTGGGAGTTCTAACGGGATAAGACTTTGTTGTTATTGTAGTTAGGAGCACGAGTAGGAAGCCAAGGCAGAAATTCACTTTTGAGAATCTCCTTTGCACAGTATTGAGAACTTGTTATCTACTGAATACTTGTAAGGTTAATTAGGAAATATATATATATATATATATATAAATACTACGTGGTACTAACTATATCTTATATTTAAGACTAGAGGCGGTATGTTTGTTTTGCGAGATATTTGCATTTTCAAGATCTGCATCTCCTGAGTATTTTATAAAATGTATGTTATAATTAATCAAATTATTAATCCATGCTTTCTTTTATGATCTCAAACTTTGCATGCGATATTGAATGTGTGAAGTGTAATTTCGTTAGTGAGCCTTTTTGTGGATATGTGGCTTCACAAGTGGTGATCCCCAATATTGTAGTATTTGATGGCATTTCTCGCTTTTAATGAATTACTCAAGACCCAAGTTATCGTATCTAAGAGAACAATTAAATTTAGTTTATGCTTTAAAATGTGGTTATTCTTTCTAGTTTTGCCTTAAACTAAACTAGTATATGCTTCCCCGTATGTTGCATGGGAAGCATTGTCTTCATCACTAAGAAGATGTTTGGATATTCTCAGAAGTGTTTTTTAAAAGAATTTTTTTTATAAATCGAGATAAATTCTTATATATATTTACTTTGTATACTATAAAATCACTTCTAAAATTATAGTTTGGTTTCTATCTAAATACTTTCTAAGTATTAAATGGGTTTTACCACAAGCCATAAACATATAATATACGGCTATATAATTATTATAGCAACTAAGGCAAGCAATTTTATCCGTATCAACAAAATGGTTGACATCCTAACTTTAAAAACTCTAATGACACAGTCTTACACAATCATATCACATATAAGGCCACAAAAATTCATATTTCAACCTACAACAGCAATTCAACAATTCGTCTGAAGTTCAAACTACAATATACTACCTTCGGTCATTAATATAAAATCCTGTTTGACTTTTATTTTGGTTCGAAATACAAGACCCCAATCCATTTTGTCTCTTATATTTATACATTTTTTTTTCAAAGTAGCCCTCCTAATAATGATAGTTCTAGTCAATACACCTGATTAGTAAGGATATTTTAGGAAAGACAACACCTACTTGGGATAAATAACTAACTCAACTTATCTCCTTAATCTTCTCAAATTAGTCAATTGGCTCTTATAATTAGGACCGGAGGTAGTATATTAACTTGAGAGTCAACACACTCAAGGCTTAATTAAAGCATCTTTGATACATTATGTGTCATTTCAACTCTATACGAAACAAAACCCTAGTTGCATCATGGAAAGAAACAATGCTGGATTGCCCCGCCTACGTCAATTACATAAACAAAAAGTCACAAACCATGGCAAAATATCAATAACTAAATGTTGAGAGAAATGAATAGAATCAAATGAGCTTCATTTGCTGCTTTGGCAATGGTCACTTCCAGCAAGGTATTGAATAGTTGTGAAAATTCCAAGCTGCACTCCTAGAAGCTTTATCGTTGTAAGGATGATAGTAGCATACTCATCATGAAGCATAATAGTGATTTCGTTTTTGACCCTAATCAGGAATAATTTAATTTTAATTCCAATCATTTCATTTTAATTCAATACATGCGTGCGCTCCCCAAGCATTGCAAGAAAAAAAAAATTCAAAACCTCTCAACATAATTTTTGAACTACATTTAATTAACATTTTATATCCCTTTCATTACATCATATTATTTACATTTTCCAGCGGTGGATGACACAATTACACTCTTATGATTTAATATTAATAACACAATAGCGATTTCTCTCTCTACTATGTTATCAGGTGGTTGATCTGAGTTAACATCACCCACAATTTAAAGCTGCTTAGAGAACTTTAATTTAATATTCTCACAATCTCACTGCCTAATGAGGATGAACAAAATATTAAATTTTTTGTTAAATATATTATTACCATGCAAGGGGTACCATGTATGATGAAATTGTTCTTATACTAATTAATTAATTTATAATGAAGGCTTTATATCAACAATGATGAGTCTTGCGTTATTTAAATTGGAACATTACTTCTGTCAATAAGTTTCAATAATGTATTAATGAACTATATTTTTTTTTTAAAAAAATGAACTATAAAATTTTACATTACTCATCGTGCATGGCAATATTGTGAATGAATACCATAAATTATAATAACGTTGAAGAAATATATATTCTATATAAATCAAAAAATATTGAGTGAACATATACTTTTTTTATTAATTTCCATTATCACCTTGATCCCTTAATGCTTTTACATATTGATAAAAACAAAAGGATGAAAATATCTAAAACTAATTAAAAGCTGATTTAGTCGTTTGGTGTATGACTTTCAGTATTTATTTGATTATTAAATATTTATTATTAATTAAAACTAATTAATAATTACTAATTTCTAAAATTATCCCTATATAAATTATGATTATGATTATAAAAATATCTAGAGAGCAAACATAATATCTCGGGTTTCTCAAAATAAATTAAATTAAAAATCATGGAATGTTTACATCTACATAAATCCTAATGAAATTCTCACTTGGATAGGCTAACTTGTAGATAGCCAGAATTCTCCTCAAGTTATAATTTAATGTAGATATACCTATTATATTTCTAATTAAAAATTATAATATTAAAATATAAAATCTGAACAAATTTCTTCTACCATTAATAAACTTTATTATATTATTTTATATCTACACACGTTAATATGGCTTTAACAAAAAAAATTACATATTAATATATTGCATAATAAGGGTCTTTTTTGTCCTTTATGATTCATAATCAGATATACAACCAAAACATATAAACTTTGTGTCACTTATGACCTTCAAAACAAAGGGTGCAGTAGAGAAACATGACTCGACCGTCCAAATTGCAGCTGTGATCTTTACAAAGCAGTCCTCAACTTTAACTTTCTCGTGTATGACCTAAAAAAAAGAAAAGCCACATAATGAATTGATAATCAGCTTATGAGTCTGAGTTGGGGAAACTGCAACACAACAAAAAGGCCAAATAAAGAATGTACAAATATAAAAACATATATACTCAAAACATGAGGTATTTCCGTATTTGCCAATAGCTAAGATGCTGAAGACAAAAGAATGAAAGAAACTTTCCACTTCCATCAGCACGTTTATCTCTAGACCAGCCATTTGTGAACGAACCTTCTGCAAGCCGGCCTTGAGTTCCTCACATGATAAAGATGCAAGTTCTTATACTCTCAAATTTAATACTCCTCCGGTCCTTAATATAGGACCCAATTGTTGAGTTGGTTTTGGTCCTAAATATGAGACCCATTTATCATATTTATCAATTTTCTCTAAATTACCCCTATGGATACTCCATCAACTATAATCAAGTAGGAGAGGAAGATGGGGTATTAAGAAAGATGATTATGGTATTTTAGGAAAAATGTGTCACATTTCTTATAATTAACTAACTTATTTAACTTCCTTAATCTAATTAAGTTAGTTAAATGGGTCTTATATTAAAGACCGGAGGAGTATTATAGTAGAAGAAAACTGCTAAAAGAACAAAGATTACTCGAGAATGACAAACAAAGAAGTTAAATAGAAACCATCTCATGGTCTAATGGGGTAACTTTTAAGCTGAAGGAACAAGAACATAACAGCCCAAGGGTCAATGTGGTCAAGTGACCATGAATTGCTTTAAATAAAATTTTATCATGAAAACAAACTGATAATCACAAAGTGAGCAGCATATTTTACAAAGTGAATGGACATGGCGCATATTACTTATTACTTTATTAGTTAAGCCTCTTCTATTGCCATTTTGCTGTCCTATTTCTCCACCAGGATGATGCCAACATGCTGCCCCAAACTCAACCACTCATTCCTTCTCTCTCTCATATCCTCTATTGCCCCCGGGCTTTAGCCCCTCGCGCCTTCCCCATTTCTACCTCATTTAGTTCTTCACAATATACTGTCGTCATAATAAAAGCACAGTAAAATAATACTCCTCCGGTCCTAATTATAAGACCCAATTGACTTATTTGAGGAGATTAAGGAAGTAAGTTAAGTTGGTTATTTATAATAAATAAGTGTTGTCATTCTTAAAATATCCTTACTAATTAAGTATATTGGCTAAAACTATCATTATTAGAAGGATTATCTTGGAAAAAAATGCATAAATATAAGAAACAAAATGGATTGGGTCTTATAATTAGGACCAAATAAAAAGTCAAATTGGGTCTTATAATAAGGACCGGAGGAGTAACTTCAAGGAAAATCATATACGTAGCAAAAGAATATAGAGTAACTTTCGTTCCGGAAAGCCTTGGTGTCTCTTTAAGGGAGTAAAGGGAACCAAGCCTGTACTATAGTAGCCATGTTTAGCTGAAAAAGTCACATTCCAATATGAGCCTGTCAAGCAAACAATTGAACAGCAAAGGTGGATAAAGACAGAACCATTGAAGGTCAAGAGAAGTTGCCATCAACTATGATATTCTGACTTTGAACTAACAGAAGAGACATCTGCAGACCTGCAATCTGTGACCTCTCTTTACTATCTCATTAATTAAGATCCAATGTTTTGCACAAAATGAAGAAATCCACTTTGTTGTTGTCAGGTCACAACAGGTTCGGATATGGAAATAATGCAGTGTTTTTGGTCTTATTTGACCAACTATGCCCATGACCT